TTGTATGATGTACTTACCGCGTTGTGGTGTAGTGCCAACTATGTGGTGTATAATACCAGCTATTTGGTGTATAGTGCCAGCTGCGTGGTGTAGTGTGGTGTATTACCAGATTTGTGGTTTAGTGTGATCTCTTTGGAGCAGTGTGTGGTACCAGCTCTGTCGAGTATGTATAAGCACATAGATATGGTGCAATGGCAGCACAGAAATGGGGTGTATTGTCAGTAGGTGTAGTGTAGTACCAGTACGGAGGTGTAGTGTAGTACCAGTACGGAGGTGTAGTGTAGTACCAGTACGGAGGTGTAGTGTAATACCAGTACGAAGGTGTAGTGTAGTACAGGTACGGAGGAGTAAAAATACAAGACTGGTGCAGCACCAGTTATACAAGACTGGTGCAGTACCAGTTATACAAGACTGGTGTTGTACCAGTTATACAAGATTGGTGTTGTACCAGAGATGATAGTGCAATTTTGTAGCGAGGTGAGCGAGGCCGGTCATTACCTCGTAAACTATTGCAGCTCCCTTGAAGAATGATTCATGCTTCACTGAAACTTTCGTAAATTAGGGGCTGGGCTCTTCCCGACGCTCCAGTTGGTGTCTGTACTCTCGGATGGTTGTGTATGGTGGATGGTTGTAAACTGTGTAGTTTGGTTCTCCCAGAAGTATGGGCGAAACTGCATTTGGTATATTCCCATCATGTCACTTCCATTATTCGATTTTATGTTTGTTTCTTAATCAGTTCAAGTGTAGGGAATTATATATAAACCCACCTATGTATTATCTCTCTACTTTGTCCCTTTAAATGTGTCAAATGATGAAAGTGTTCAGATTATTTTCGTTTTATTTCTATGTGGATTCTTAAGCATAATTGAATCACATGTTTTTTTGGTTTATTCTCGTATCTTTAAAAAAAATGGTTTTGGGCTGCGGGTGAGTGACAAAGTGATGCAGATGGTGATAGCACGCGATAGCAAATTCTGATTAAAACTGCTGCTGTGGTAGATACAGATAGCTGCCGTGGGAGGAGCAGATGGATGCTGTGGCAGAGGGCAGAGGCAGGTTGTTGCTGTTACAGAGGCACATGCATGCTGTTCCAGAGACAGATTTCTGCTGTGATCTTTTTTTTTGCTTTGCTTTAAAATAAATTTTGCTTTAAAATAAATTTACCTCCCACTTCCTGGCAGAGTTAGCCCCCGTCTCCTCACCTGTGCTACTCATATATTTCTCAGGTTTCTGTAAACCACTACCGAGCAGTACAGATATTTAAGGGTATATGCTTTTAATATCTGAGCTTGTATATAATATACAAATCATCCTTCAGATATGCTGTACACGTAGTGAAAAGAATGCAGATTGAAAAAACTATATTATATAAAGTTTTGAGAACGGAACGATGAGCTGAGGTAGGAAAGCGTAGACCTTTCATCTTTGAGTTACGGGCAAATAAAAATTTATTACTCTTGTTCTCGAAGACTGAAGGTGTCCAGTCTTCTTGAGTGAATTTAAAATATATATATAATTTTGTCGGTCTAAATGTATTTTTTCACGTCTATTTTAGCTTTAATTTATTTTTATTTATTCTAATTTAACTAGTACTGTTTTAAATACTGTAGTTTAAATCTGTATTTAACCAGGAAAAGATCTGACGTTAAACAAGCGGGATAGTTTACTTCATAGAAGTGAACATTTGGCAAGTTAATAAGTCCACGAACTTCAGCGGACGGAAGGCACTACGGGCTCACCATAGCCCGTGCTACTTGGAACTTTGTTCCAGGTAGCGAATCTTTAACAACAACAACAGCGGACGGTTCGAACATTTGGTTAACCAATTGTCGTCATCTAAAAGGGCCTCACTTGCTGTAACATTAAATTTTACTCAGTCTGCGATATTTGCGTAGGTTACGCGGAAAAATCTGTAGAACAGTATTTCATTGTTTACTTTTTATATTTTGGATTTATTCTGAAGAAAAAAGTTAACGGTGGCCAGCGCGTTAGGAAGGTATTATCCTTTGATCATAACTAACCCACATCCAAGATTGTTGTCATGAGCTTGTTCAACTGACTTTAAATCTTAAATAGTATTAAGTACGTTCGAAAGAAGTGCCCCTAAATACACTTTCTAAGGCGGTTGCCGTAAGTGATCCAACTGACTTAAATTTATAGTGTTTCAAGCAAACAAATAATAAATATACCGCGTGGAAACTTTAAATCGAAAAGCTTTAGCGTCAGTAAAACTTTTTGCCAGAGAATATAACTGGAGCCACTTACCACTCTGATCCTTACATCATAAAACTGGCTATAACTTTTTCCCATTTAAAGTGACTCACTTGTGCATTCATATGAGTACATTTGCATAACGTGACGTATGGGTTGAAGCAATATATTAGTCTCCCGAGGTCAGGGGAGAGGTATAATCCTAATGATTGCTTACAATGTTTCTTGCATCACTTAAAATAGTGTTCTTGTGAGACAGTACTAGCACCACGCCATGTTCACACTGAAATTTCTTCTTGGAGAATACTGGAAGATAGTGTGTGAGCCTCTGGGTGACTCACATTGCTCACCTGAAGCTAGTTTGTGAGTCTTTGGGTGTCTGGACGACTGACGTTCCTCACATAAACGGAATAAACTTTGAATGGCTTCCACATCTTACCCAACGAATATCAGAAGCTATATTAGGATTGGGGGTCTAGATTCTTTCACTGCATATAGCGCTTTTTGACATTTTTGAACAAAAATATTTGTTAAACGTATCTTTGGAACTTTTGGAACAATATTCCCTAACGCGATTACCATTTCTGTTTTCATATCAGAAAATCGATACGAGAGATCACGGGTTCTCTGGCAACCTCCCCCCCCACTCCCGGGCTGCAAATGAAAATCTGCATAACCCCTCAAATTTAGCGCTATGGGATGGCCACGGAGACCTTGAATGGTCAGTAATAATAGCGAGGATGTTACAATGATAGAAAGGGTGTTTAGTGGGGAACTGAATTTACCCCCTGGAAGGTCACACGTAGAGGTGTTCCCAGCTTCATAAGTGTAGACTTAAGTATTGATTTTAGTCATGAACTTTAGCCCGGACTAAAGCATACCTGCTGGTGGTCAGTAGTGTGTTGTTTTGGTCTAAGCCCTCTAGAGGTTGACTGACCATCAGATTAGCACCAATTTAAGACTTCATATCGTGCTACAAGTCATCATTGATACTGTAAATACAACCATTGTTTCACTTAGAGGTATAACAAAAACTGATTTACTCTGTTGGCAACTTGTATATTTTCATCTTGTGAGCAAACGTACAGAGTTACTGACAACATCACAGTTTCAATATTGGGGCTTCTCTCGTGCCCTGAACGAACACAATCACAATCAAAAAATACAATATCATACAGCTGGTTTTTTCTCTCGCAGTAAATATTTTATTTCATAATTTTACTTTTAAAATCAATTAAAAAACATTCAATAAACTGGAAGAAGCACGAACATTTCAGAAATAATAATATGCGCAACATAATAAAAGTAGTTTAAAACAAGAAAAATTTTTAAGTGTTGGGCAATTTATGTTTAGTGTAATAAACCACAAACATTTTTGCAATTAATTAGTTTACATAATCATCCCGCCAAAAAAACATACAAAATATTAACAAAATCGTTATATTTTGTAGTTTTGCTCAAAACAGCAAGGAACAAGACGTCAGTATAATAGCCTATTATTGTCCAGGTTACGTTGAACGTTCCACATTATCACAAATCTGATACAAAACTGTTGTATTTCGCGTAGAACTGCTGATAACTCTAAATATTTATATGGATAATTTTCTTTCTGTACATGCTGGATATTAACCATTTACACGACATGCCATCAAGGTCAGCTTCCGGAGTCACTCATAAGTCACAACTGATTATAAAATCAAGATAATCAAAAAGGATGTACCATGGCTATTCAAATTAATTTAGAAAATATATACATAGGATCGGAAATATTCAGAACTCTTGTTAGATACAGGATGGAAGACATTGTTTACCTGCGGCTGTTCTGTAGTGGTTATGGCAAGGAGGATGAACCAGGGCACGGACGGGGAGTGTGGATCTGACAGGATTAAATAAAGGTGAAGCCGTGAGGAGGGGCAGGGCTGGTGGATGTGTGAGGACAGGGCTGGTGGATGGGTAAGGACAGGGCTGGTGGATGTGTGAGGACAGGGCTGGTGGATGGGTGAGGACAGAGCAGGTAGATGGGTGAGGACAGAGCAGGTAGATGGGTGAGGTCAGGGCTGGTGGATAGGGTGATAACAGGGCTGATGGATGGGTGAGGACAGGGCTGATGGATGGGTGAGGACAGGGCTGGTGGATGTGTGAGGACAGGGCTGGTGGATGTGTGAGGACAGGGCTGATGGATGGGACGAGGGCACAGCTGGTTGTTAGAGCAGATCGTTATAAAAATAATAATTTAGACAGCAATATGCTTTTCAGTATTTCGGAAAGATTATTTACGTGAGTCTTAGAAGAATCCATATCAGTTGCTACCTGTGCATCTTTGTACATACTGACACAAAATTAAAATTAATTAAAATTTCCTCCAATTCTGTGCAAGTTTTGAAACTGACATTTGTTGGAATTCACGATTTTTAGTACCCTTCATAAAGCTCTGAAAAATGCAATGTATGCATTTTTATATTTTATTTTTGTCATGCTGCACTTTTCACTTTTATTATATATACTAGATGTATTTGTTATGCTGAAGCAAGTCATGATAGTGAGTGCATTGAGTGTACTGGCGTGGGGAGGATGGGGTGAGAGGGGGAGGGGGGGGGGAATTCGTAAGGAATACTGTCAGCACGAAATCATAGTTTCGTAAGATGGAATTGTAATTCCGTTAGTCGTTATTGACTGTTTGTCTTAACAATTCTCAAAACTGAGAGCCGTGGTACATAACTGCAGGACGAGACGAAAGTGTGTGTGTGTGTGTGTGTGTGTGTGTGTGTGTGTGTGTGTGTGTGTGTGTGTGTGTGTGTGTGTGTGTGTGTGTGTGTGTGTGTGTGTGTGTGTGTAAGTTATCATAAGTCCCAAGTAACAAAATGAGACAATGACACAGGCGGTCAAGTAGCTTGTACGATCCCGACAGAAACACAGATGACAGTAACTATCAGACGAGAATGACTGTCAGCACATTTGCAAGTACTGTCAGCACACCTGCAGATACTGTCTGTCAGCACAGCAGGTACTGTCTGTCAGCACATCAGAATGCTGACCACCAATACGACAGCGAAACCTAGTAATCAAATTATACGGTCATCAATCTCTGATCAATAATAGAGGCTTTTTGCACATGACGAGATAAGCAACGGATGTAGTTGGCTCTCATGTAGACAACTGTAAGTCTTAGACACAAACCCACGCAAGATGTTCACTGTGCACTGCACCACCTTAGTGCAGTGTTCCAGCAGGTATATAATCAGAGGCTGTTAATTATTCTATCTAGTACAGTTATTTTTTCATCTCTCCTTAAGGCAGGGTTAAATAGTTGTTGACAGTATGGTTTAAGAATGGTCCTGTTACGTCAAAATCCGACAATCTTCCTCTCAGGGTAACAGAATATGTCACTCCAATTAAACAAAATATTGTAAAAGGTTGTTTACCAGCATATATTTTTCGCCCCAAGGGTGTGGAGGTTTGCCAATAGTTTTCCTATACCGGCACACGCTTTGAGGTTATTTACTGATCATCTGTTGCAACAAGAAGTCCTGGATTTTCTAAGGTCGTCCAACCTTTATCTAATTCCACCAGACTGAATGCTGTCTCGGGTGTTTCCACTGACTCGAATGAGTGTTGATTTGAAGCTGTCCCCTCAGTCACTGATACAAACACACTATAAACGCATCATTTTTCCCCTGCGGTCCCTGAACAAGCTTACACACAGATGTTTATCACAATGTAATGATTGTTTAGTACGTATATTTCCTACTTAATTTGACACACGATGAAGTTTAAAAAATGTGGGAATGCAATATAATATACTACAACAAGGCTAGGCTATGAAAGTGGCTTCCATGGTGAACTGTTTCTATATGATCACAATGACATCTATCATTCATCATACTTTTACATATGTACACACAGACATACAATATTTCTTTATTTCACATCGGATATATAACTTTGGCGTGAAAGGTTCATACAAAAAGTGAACCCCAATATAGATTCGTCACTCAGTGACTAAATTGTCTTATAAAAGTCTTAAGGAGGTTCAGTGTCTAAATAAAGCCTGGCTCACACGGCACTTTCTCTTCTGGCTGACGTGGGACTCTCTGGGTCCTCAGGTATTCTGGGCAGACTGGTACCCACAGGAACCTGCTGGGTCACATCCCCGGCGTACAGAAGAGGCGCCGGAACGTCGTCAGGCGCTGGTGCTGGGGGCGTGCCGCTCTCGCCCTCACTGAAGTGCACCTCGATGTCCCCACCGCCACACACCTATAGGACGAGACCACATCTTTTAAGAGTAGAAATATTTTATACTAAGGGATGTTTCTCATTCTTCGAGCACAACAAAAGTATAGCAACTGGATGGATGGTCAGTAACATATTGTTGTGGCCATTTTAAGCCCATCACACCAAACTTCATTAACGGGTCTGGATATATGCATTAGAGAAGTGTATTTTGCTTCAGGGTGTATATAAACTTAAGAGTTTACTGTGGCTGTGAAAAATGTTGGGGACTGTAATATGCATGTTGGTTAGTCAGGAAGTGCTTGTAGTAGTCTAATAATTCTCTAAAGGATGATAGGCCTCAAGCCCAATACAAAACCATCATTAATAATGTTGCGCTGCAGGTCGTCACTTTGTCATGTATATAAAGAAATGTTTTGCATTAGAAAATAAGTGAATATTAATGCACAGAATAACCATGAGGCTTTATTGTTGGGAGTCTATCCAGAACCTTTGATGGACCTCACTCACTGTGGTAATGATTGCAATGCAGGAAATTTAAATTAACTAAACAAATTATCGAGCAAACAGTGAAGATTCTTTTTATGCTGTTGCAAGGAAAGAAAAATTTAGTTTTTTTTTGTGTGGTTAACTTTTAGGGACGGAAAAATCACTGCTGTGTATTGCAGAGTTAGGAAGGTAACGCCTGTGACTCAGCGTTCCATCGCTGAACCACGGTGTGCGGGCAGGGAGAGAGATGACGGCTCTATGTTACCCTATTTCTCTTTTAAGACCTTCCCGGACACTAGAAGTAGCCAGTAGTATTCCATCCATATGCCTGAAGTCTTTTTATTTGCTTGTTATATGTGTGGGTAAGTTCTTGATGACGCCAAATAACACTTATAAACAATCTATACAAGTTATAAGCTTCCAGTGAAAGATGTCTAAATGAGAGAAAAGTGAGGCATGAAGCGTGCATACTCACTCTGGGCGTGGTGGAATACGCAGACTGTCTGAGTAGGTGGGCGTGTCTTAAGTCGTGAGCCCCGTGCCCTGGGAGCGGTAAGGTGTAATGATGGGGATCTGGGCTGTGTTGGGTCGCAGTTGGAGACTGGTGTGGCCCTAATGACGGAGAGTGTTGCTGGAGATGATGTTGTTGCTGTTGGCACTGCTGGCTGTGTTGAGGAAGGGGCGGGGACTGCTGGTGGCGGTGTTGAAGCTGCTGGAGGTGTTGCGCGCCGTGTCGGTGACCTGGAATATAGGACAAGGCGCCCCCTGGCCTTATGCTGACGCTCACCTCATCACAGTCTGAAATATATTTATTGTTCAGCTCGCTGGTTACGGGTAGATTTGCAAGGCTAATTTGGCTTTCAGTTTGTTTTTAATATAATAACGTTATATAGATTCGTTGCGCGCTCTCTCTTTCGCGCGCGCACGCACTCGATAAATAGTTGAGAGGCGGGACAAAAGAGCCGAAGCTCAACTCCCCCACAAGCACAATTAGGTGAGTATAAGCACGCTCACACAAACAACACATAATAGAACCCAAATAGGACGAGACTTTACCCACAAACATACGAGAAATAAAAATAAGCACGGAAAGAATCTACCTAATGAGAAGGTAGGAGAAAAGTAAATTCGTGACAGGAACAGTTGACAAATCCAAAACGGAATGCAGCTTCTTCTGTAAATTCATTACACGTAAACTACAGTTGAAAATTGAAATCGAGATTGAAAATGAACTATGGCTTCACTAATGCAGAGAAAGAAATGCGCAAAATCCTAAATAAACCGTTTCAGAGTATGTTCCTTCAAAACAAGGATTTCAAAGTATCAGACACTCCGGACCTTAGAATATAACCTAGAGCACCTGAATGTGTGCAGAGACAACGAATTAAGCTCGTGTAGGAATTTATGTAGATACAGTTAGTTTAGGGTTCCATAAAGAATGCCTTCACGAGCTTGGGAACCCACTGCAGATTATACTTCACATATCGTTTCAAATTGGAAAAACCCGTTGATATATTCAAAAGAAAAATATAGTCCCAGTTTATAAAAATGGTGACGTTGAAAACCCATTAAACTACAGTCCAATATCATTGACAAGTGTAGTAGCCAAATCACCAGAGATAGCAATTAAAGCTAAATGGGTGGACTTTTGAAAGAAAAAGAAAAATAATAATAATGGGAAGTATTGCTTAGGAAATGGAAGAGCATACGTAATAAATTTACACAATTCTTATGTTAAGGCCACATATATCATTCAGGAAAGCCTGATTGGCAGGCTGCAGCAATCTAAAAAAAAAAGGCTTTTCATAGAGTCTCCTTATAAATGGTTTTTATAGAAGTCGAAACATGGAGAAGGGGATTCCAAACAGGCTTTTCGAAGGGATGAAATTCTATCGTACATACAGAAATGAGAGCAGTGATCATAGACAATGATTCGCATTAGAAGAGTGTGCCAAGTAGAATCAGGCAAGGCTTAATACTAGTGCTAGTAATGTTAATTTTGTATATAAATGATCTTTCTTAACGAACACAGGATTATAAGAACATTTGTGGGTGATAGTAACTTAAGCTACTAGGACGAATAAGAGACCTAGGTGACTGTCATGGTCTAGATAAAATAAGAACTTTGAGCAACACATCAAATTCAGTTCTATGTGGATAAATGCCACATTTACACCAAGACAATTTCCATAGCTGAGAGGTATGAGTTACGTGGAAAGACCATATTATTTAAACATCACGACACATAATGAGATGGAACAGGGGGAGACATGACTGTCATACAAAATATGTGAGGCACATAATCGAAGGAACACATGAAAATATGCAAAATATGTCAGAATCCAAAGGATTTGGGAATTAATACCCAAGTTGAAGGACATGTGGCGAGACCCCAAGAGCTGAAATTCTACCCACTGTAAGCTTAGCTAGATGAAGACACACAATATGGTGGTGGATCAATGAACAACAGCTGATATTTCCAGGAGAGAGTTTATATGACGGAAGTCCTTTTCCCCCTCGACCTGTCAATAGAAAAGACTCCGCAGGGAGGGGGTGAGAGGTGAAGGGGGTATTAACAAGGACAAGGAAGAACGAGAAGCTCTTACGGGCTATTCATGCCCGTGGCACCTCTTGGGTGGCTTAATCTTCATCAATCAATCAACAAGAAGCTCAGTGAGGAGAGATGTAAAGAGGAAAAATATTAATAGCCTATTCAGGTGGAATATGAGTCTATATGAGAAGGTCAGGCCCTAGCATAAATTATGACAGCAAAATTTGTTTTACTAATAATTAGACACCCAAAACACACACATCTGAAAATTAATGAAGTGACGACGTTTCGTCTAGTACGGACCGTAAACGTCTTCACTTCATGTGTTGGTTAGGTATCTAATTATCAGCTCTGTTATCGTGACTTACTGTCTGCTTATATTACTGTCGCTATGTTCGTATTTTTTCAGCACTCCACTCTCGTTATAACATAAAGGCATACCGTTTGTGAATTTACTCTGTACAAACTTCACTACAAAGTGGAGATAATTACTCTGTCCAGCTTGCCTCTTGTGGCTTAACCGTCATACTTAAACTTGAGGCAAACATGCGGATCTGTCCACTAATCACTTGGCCAAAGGGAATACAGAAAAATATTCACAGCACGCAATATCACTTACCTACACACAAATATATATATATATATATATATATATATATATATATATATATATATATATATATATATATATATATATATATATATATATAGTACACGGAAAGTAAGAAAGTACAAATAGTATACGGAAAAGTCGTCTTGATTGCTGTCCATATTATAAATTCAAAACATTTCAACTCTTCAAACTCTTCACAGGGTTCTTAACTCTACACGCTATGCATCGTTAAAGTAGAGAATTCCCGTGTTTTCACTTCATTATCTTGTAACATGTACAGTCCATAATAAATTCTTTAACATCACTTCGACTCTCCAGATTGGGTCCAATCTTTTACTGCAATTGGCAGACAAATGTTCTTTCTGTTGGTAATGTGCATCAATCATTAACACAACACATACATACTTTAGTTGTTGGTAAATTGATGTATTCATGAAATTGGTACCTGAGCAGGTGAGATTCAAATGGAGTTTACTCCTCACCACGCACACGAATGGTTTACACTAAGTGCTAACGCGCACTCCTAGTTAATGTATAGCCCTTCACACTTGGGTGGTGCACCCGCCACGTGGCTAACACGAACACGTTGCACTTGGCATGGATTGTAGACTACTAAAATTGCAGAACTTAAGTTAGTCCCAAGGGGTTGGTATGGTGCATAGTAGGCAATAGTATATGCAGACTTGGTACACAGATCGATATTAAGTCACCAGTACAAGGATTGATACATGGTCCCCCCCCCCCCCACACACACACCACTACATACATGTGACATCATCCAACAGCTAAATACAGTATTTAGCTAAAATACAGTATTTATTAAAGTATTTTGCTAAATACAGTAATTTAGCTCCAGACTATCCTGTGGATAACTAAGATAATGTTACGTGGTGATATCTAGACGTATGTCGACGAAAATAAAGGGAATTGTGACCACCCTTAATAAGCAAACAATGTATTCATGAGCGGAATTAATAACAATAATAAAATACAATGGTTTAAAAATGGTTATCTACAAAGGTGCCAGAAAGCTCCCAATCTCAGTATGCAGGAAAGTATTGGGTAGAAAAGCATCTGAAACGTATTAAAGTTTCAACTATTCATTTATATATATATATATATATATATATATATATATATATATATATATATATATATATATATATATATATATATATATATATATATATACATATTCATATATATATAAGAATGTGCATGTAGGATATGTAAGTGGGGACAAGACAGCCACGGACCTGGAAAACGTACCTCCACTGCAGGCGACGACATCGGGACTCTGGTCGTCAGAATGGTGCTGGTGGAGGTGCTGCTCGCTATAACAACCATGAAGATCGTCGTTCGGGTCATGAACCTCAGCCTGACGGTCAATGTGGCTTCCTCGACCTTTCTTTAATGTTCCTAACGGCTGCTGGTGTTTATGGAATTGATGTTGCTGTTGCTGCTGCTGTTGGGATCTTTTCTGTTGGTGTCTTTGTTGTGTCTCGTCACTCTTGTTGCCCTCTTGTTCCCGAGCCTGGCGCCTTCTGGCTGCCGCGCTGCACTGGACCTGTCAAGGTATCCATCAATCTTGTGAACAGCTTGACTGAGTCTCCTAGATGCATTTTGCGTTTGTAAAATAAAAATAAACTGAATTTTTATTATAAACACACGCACTCAGGGAAAACCGGAGAGAATCAGAATATAGAAAACCTCTATAATGTTGAATGATTATCTTAACTAGTAACAAAAACGGTCTGAGTGATGAATACTAACCTTCAACCCCAATATATGCAAGGTCGTGAGATGATAATCCCAGGAGCTATATATGAAGAGAGGCAAATGTAAAGTTATCATCTGGTGAAAGCTGTAAGCCAGTATGACTTTATAGCACATGGAGACGACATGAGGACAAGGAGCTGGGAAATGAGGCCGAGCTTGGAACATGGACCACTGGGGATCAAAGGCCAACCTGCAGAAAACGAGGCAGTCGCTGTGCCAACCAGTCTAAGTGGCTAGACATTATGAGGCGCGCACACATTCGCGAATGAAAGAAGGATGAAGATCTGGGAGCCAACATAGCTGAAAACTGATCACCAAAAGTGAACATTGGGAGAAAAATCCACTGACAGATTATAAACAACCGAACAGCAAAATATGCGTCAGAAACCTAGACATCCTTCAGTATTCTTGCAACTCAGACGAAATTAGAGAAATTTACAGGATTTCTATGTATAACCCGAGATATTTCTATCTCGGGAATAACCCATTCCCGAGAGATTAGGAATGGGTTACGACGAAAAGCTGAATGAACTGAACCTCATTATACTCTAAGTCATCGAAGATAAGAGAAATTATAATGACATTAACGTTTCTTAGGAGCACTGAGCGAGTAGATAGCTATGAAATGCTCAAAATTATATGTAACAATGATATGGATGGACGCTGGAGGCTCAGAGGAGTCGGAGATTGGTAGCATTTCTTCAACACAAGGGAAGTGAGCAAGTGGAACGGGCAAATAAATATATTTTAATACGCGGTTTAAAAAGCGGATATAATAAGAAGTAGAGAAAACTCCATGTTTTGGATTAAATGGATGAAGTTTCAAAGGAATTACTGTAGCAATCACAAATGGATTAAAAATCTATGTTAAACGAACAATGACAAGAGAAGAACTGAAGACAGTAGTGAGAATTATTTAAAAGTTCCAATTAAACAACGGGAGGCCTCGACAAAAATGCAAAAATTTAAATGGAGCAAAATGCCTCATTCTGGGAGATTTCGTCGCAGGCGAGACAGACTGTGAAACAGAAGACTCACACACATACATATTTTAAGATAGAGCGAGAATAGTAGAAGCCACTGATAGAAATTCCTCTATACTGATTTATATGAGTACTAATGGTGATAGACAATGTGCATACCAGACAAAACTTGGAACTTACCTTAAATGAGACAGAAAGAGTATGGAATATGAAGTCGCTTTAGGTGCCTCCGATTACTAAGTTGGTTTACTAATATCCTCCAGAAATGCTCGAAATAATTTGTTCGAATAATGCTCGAAATGCTTCGAAATAATTTGTTTTAGTTAAAATAGACAGGGACAAAGCATAGTAGTAGTTCCTGATTCAACATACAATTCACGATGGCTTGAAAAAAATTCAGAGATTGTAGGATGGAGAAACCCCGAAATTGAACTAAGAAAGCAAAAATTTAAATATCAAAATCAGAAGGGAAGTAGAGATAGTACGAGAACAACATAAAATTTTATACAATTATTTTAGTTTCATCAAAAAGGTTAGACAAGATTTCAAGGTAGAGCCTGAAAAGCTATTGGACGCAGGAGAGGGAAAAAAACGGATTAAGGAGTAAACAGCATTGCATCTTCATTCGAAGAGCAAAAGATTACTAGATGTAACAGAGGCAGCATAAGTCTCATTATGGATATTAAAAGTTTCAGAATCACTATGTAAGTCGCTTATATTGATTCTGAAATAAATGCCAATTCATCCAGAATCTGGAATTCTGGAAGAAATACATAACAGGTGGAACATGATACATGTTGTTCCAACATACAAAAAAAGGACACACGGGAAATCACTGACATCGATTCAGTGAACGCAAATTTTGTAGCAACTCTCTTGGGTTTATATAACAGAATTATCGCGGCCATGCAGGAAATTTAATAATGGGAGGATTGTATATTTTTAGACTATCAGAAAGCCTTCGATATTGTAACAGATTATACGGCAGTTTAAATTGGAGAAGCATCCTATGCAACTGGGAGAATGCTAAACTGACGTGAGATAATGCCTAACGTCCAGAAAAATTGATAGAAGGATATTCCAAGCGGTGATCTGTAAACGTCAGTATTAGGCCACGTTCTTTTCTTAATATATCTTAATACATATAAAGGAGCAGAGAGGGTTAGTTTCCTGCATGTGGATTTTTGTGAATGACGCAAAACTAATGAGAAGGCAAGAGATTACGGTAGAATGTTCAAGGAAGATTTGAACACTGCAGCTCTGGTGTGCGAAGTAACTTCTGAATCTCAATCCCAGCAAATGAAAAGTAATAAGGATTCGAGAACGTATAAAGAGGTCAGAATGAAGGACCTAATAAAAGAAGGCACCTTCATGAATGAGATTGAAAGAAGTTGGCGTTGGCTTAACACGGAGTCCCAATTAGAGGAACACATTAGAATAATATCAGTTGCGTATACAAAGTGGACGAGTATTAGAACATCCTTCAGGGACCCGGGCATGGTGCTCTCAGAGCACTCTATGCTACCTACGTGAGACCAGTTCTACAGTGTGCAGCATTGGCAATCAGCATTCGCCACATTAAGCACTCTATGCTACCTACGTGAGACCAGTTCTACAGTGTGCAGCATTGGCAATCAGCATTCGCCACATTAAGCATGACAGAAAACGTAAAGTTAATGGTTTGCTTAAGACTGGTTCTAGAATTGAGGACACACACACACACACACACACACACACACACACACACACACACACACACACACACACACACACACACACACACACACACACACACAAACACTATACCTAACTCCGGAGTCTGATATAAACAGGACAATGACAGCAGTATACTCTTATCTAGCAAAAGTCAGAACATCAGTTAGGAACCGAAACAAGGAGGCATTTAGATCACTGTACACCGCCTACGTCAGACGAATTTTTCACTATGCTGACCCATCATGGAGCCCTCATTAAAAAAATAGACACAAGGAAACTCGAAAAGCTTCATAAGATTGCAAGAAGGCCCATACCAGAATTGCGAAGGATGGGGTATGACGAGAAACTGAAGGAACGAAACCTGATGACACTAGAAACGAGCAGAGAAAGGGGGGCATGATAGACGTGTAAAAAACGTAGAGGGATTGCCAGTGGAAAAAGTGGAAATGTTCACAGTGAACACTAATAGAACAAGAGTCATGAAACTCAGATGACTCATAGAGATGATACAAAGTTTTCGTTTTACGTAGGAGTAGAGAGGAATGGAATGAACTATAGGAGTAAATTGTAGAAGCCAACTCCATTCGCAATGTTAATAGTAGATATGATAAGGAAATAGGAATATTTCCCTTATCATTGCATACCAGAAATCATTGCATTAGACAATCTGGGGATAGAAAAGCAGGGTCCAAGAATTAATGCCTGATCATGCAGGCATACACTCAAAACGAGTAAAAATTACAAAGCACACGAACAAAACATAGTCAAAAAGTTTTGCACAGGACAGGTACCGAATATAAAATATCAGAAAACATTATGGGAACTGATCCTGATGCCACGGAAAGAGAGGTGACATGATCACAACATATAAGATATTGAGGGGGAAAAGATACCGTTTTAAGAAAAATAATATTAGATTACAAGAAGTAAAAAAAAATGATCATTTAGTAGCAGCCGTAAAGGATACCTGTTTATAGTTATCTCGTTACTTGCAAACTCCGACAGTGGTTAACAAGTCGAGCAGCGAAGCGCTTAACCTGGATCTCCATAACGTGACCCAGAAATATGATGAAATTCTCGAGATATCCGTGTAACACGCATGTTTCTTCCCGATCACGAAGTGAACATTATCCAAATGTTGCACAGAATTATGCATGATAGACCAATGTACCGGTATAATGAGTGAGGCACAGTGGTCATGCACCAGCAGCCCAACCTGAACCTATCATTTGCATCAGGACTTGGATAGAGCTCGGTAATGTCGCTGGCTACTCACCCAACAACATCTATAATGTGCATATTATGTGCATTTAATTTACATTGCTGGAAATATAATTCTTTAACCTAATATATTATCTAAACGAGAAAAGTATAGTTTATTGTAAATTTAGGTATTTCATTGTGTATTTTTAGGTAATCATAACTGTAAAAGTCATTCACAACATTGTCAGAAAACCTTTGTTTACTGATAAATGAAATATTTTTGACGCCTTCTGTCATTCTCAGCCCTGACTCTTTCCTTCTGTTTTGCTTCTTGTCTAAACGCAACTTTTTTTTCCCTGTCACCTAGTGTCTCACAGACAACATTTCTTCCACTTCTTTGTCACTTTCCTGTCACTCCATTAGGAAATTATACTTGATTTTTCCAGCTTGGCTATCGGAAAATCAGATGATAAATCAAGTAATAGTTTATACAGTTATTACGGTCAGTTCTTGCTATCTCACTCTCGTAATAACTAAACAAATCTTTTTGATATTTCCAGCTTGGCTATCAGAAAATCAGATGAGAAATCAAATAATAGTTAATACAATTATTACGGTCAGTTCTGGCTGTCAAACTCTCGTAGTAACTCAAAAATTCTTCTTGATATTCCCAGCTTGGTTGTCAGAAAATCAGATGTGATATTACTTAATAGTTTGTACTAATGTTAAAGTCAGTTCTAGCTGTCAGACTCTGACAGTAACGTAGAGGTGAATGTGTTTCCTGCGGCTTACGCTAATGGTTCCACTAATGAGAAATAAACATTACTCACTGTTAATTCTAGCTATTATAAATTAAATTACATATGCCATTAAATATTAAAATGGGATGAATATAAAGTTTCATTTATTTTGTTTTTGATAGTGTAAATCGATGTTGGTACTAATTTTAGTGTACGCTGATGTGATGATAGACATACATGACGAACATTTGACATATTTGACCGGAACTTCAAGAAGTGTTTGACTGACACTTTACTCCTTATTTTACTGGCAATTGACATGTTTAACTAGCACTTCTAAATGTGATTAACAATAGAAGTTTCACTGACACTTATCTTATGATGTGGGGTAACCGGCGGCTCCTGGGTCGATCCCCTCCCCCATACCATTACTATCTTACCTGACACACACACACTCCTCCCGTCTATTCTAACACTCCCCGACACTCTTCACACACACCCTATCTACACCCATCACTGTAACTGTCTTCAACATAAAATGTCTTCATCAGTGTAAACATCTTCACACCATCTCAGCCCACACCCACCCCAAGGATTCACTTTCCCTCCCCCGCGCACCCTCCTCGGCTCCACCCAGCACCGACGCACTTTCATCGTAACCATCCTCCCTTCACTCCCTTCACTCCCTTCACACACACACACACACACACACACACACACACACACACACACACACACACACACACACACACACACACACACACACACACATAAGACGAAGCTGGAAAAAGTTCAGATGTATGACACTAGGCTAGTCCCAGAACTAAGAGGCATGAGTTATGATGACAAACTAAGTGAACTGCACCTTACATCGCCGGAAGACAGAAGAGCTAGGGGAGACATAATCACCACATACAAAATTCTCAGGGGAATTGACAGGGTAGACAAGGATGGATTATTTAACACTGGTGGTACACGCACAAGGGGACACAGGTGGAAGCTGATAACCCAAATGAGCCACAGAGACATTAGAAAGAACTTTTTCAGTGTCAGAATAGTTCGTAAATGGAATGCACTAGGAAATGATGTGATGGAGGCTGACTCCATACACAGTTTTAAATGTAGATATGACAGAGCCCAGTAAACTCAGGAATCTGTACATCAGTTGATTGACGGTTGAGAGGCGGGACCAAAGAGCCAAAACTCAACTCCCGCAAGCACAACTAGGTGAGTACATTCCCGGTGCCGGCGAGGAAGAATCGGCAGTGTTTCTTTCACCCTGATGCCTCTGATGCCCTGTTGTATATATATATATATATATATATATATATATATATATATATATATATATATATATATATATATGCAACAATGATCACAAAAACACTGATCCAAGTATGCAGAATAACCACATTCTACTTTCAGAGATTCTACTTTGCTCTGATGAAGGCGAATTAGCCGAAAACGCGTTAAGCATTTTCTATTCTTCATATGTGGTTATTCTGCATATATATATATATATATATATATATATATATATATGTCGTACCTAATAGCCAGAACGCACTTCTCAGCTTACTATGCAAGGCCCCATTTGCCTAATAAGCCAAGTTTTCATGAATTAATGTTTTTTCGACTACCTAACCTACCTAACCTAACCTAACCTACCTTTTTCGGCAACCTAACCCAACCTAACCTATAAAGATAGGTTAGGTTAGGTTAGGTAGGGTTGGTTAGTTTCGGTCATATATCTACGTTAATTTTAACTACAGTAAAACAAAATTGACCTCATACATAATGAAATGGGTAGCTTTATCATTTCATAGGAAAAAAAATAGAGAAAATATATTATTTCAGGAAAACTTGGCTTATTAGGCAAATCGGGCCTTGCATAGTAGGCTGAGAAGTGCGTTCTGGCTACTAGGTACGACATATATATATATATATATATATATATATATATATATATATATATATATATATATATATATATATATATATATATATATACATTTAGTAAAATGAAACAAGAGCATAATAAAGGTGGGTTCAACATTTTTGTATTCATTATTTTCACTTAATGGAGAATCCATGGTCGTGGTGGTTGTTCTTGGTGGTTGGTGGCAGTGGTGAGTGGTGGTCATTGTTGGTGGTAATAATTGATGGCGTTCGTGGTTTTGGTGTGTATGGTAGTGTGGTGTGGTAGTGATGGTATAGTGGTGGTGTGGTGGTGGTGTGGTGTAATAGTGTGGTGGGGCTGTGCAGTAATTGCTGTGTGGTAGTAGTGGGGTACCAGTTGTGGTGGTGGTGGAAGTGTGTTGAGGAAGTATCGTGTGGCTTGTGTTGAAGAGCCATAGCTCTCAATATGGGCTTTTCTTTCATTTCCGCGTTGTAAAACATTATTCCTAATTGCAGTGTATGCTGCACCAGCCTTGCCATTGATAGGGTTAGATGACCCATCAGTGTAGATTTCATCTAACGCATTTCCAGCTTCTTTATAGATTTCCTCCAGATAATTATGCCTCATTTCTTAAGCTATCATGTTGAACTTTATAGCACATACACACACCCTTTCCATCTCCACCCTGCGAGTATAAACCCACAAACACACCCCTTCTCCATCCTTCCTGTACAAACGCACACCCTCCATGTATACACATACGGCAGCTCCATCTTCATAGTCCTTGTTTCCCTTATCAAAATCTATCAGTCTCAGGCAGATATATCCACTATTGTTAGCATTCAACATTTATCCTGGGGAACACAACAGGCATCAGACGATGTCTTTCTCCCACTATTTCCAGTCTGAGATCTTGATGTTTGCAATCAAGGGAAAGCCAAAAGAGTTTCCCGACTCCTGGGAAAATTCTTGGTCCTCGGGGCAGGAAGTCTGCCCAAGTAACTAAAACCTGATACAAATCACAGTCAAACCGTTTTGCAGATCATATCCTTAATAGGTCGACTAGCTAAGGACATTTTGTTGCGTTAAAAACCTTAAATTAACTGAAGCTATTCTAATCTAACCTAATCTCATATTTCTCAATCTAACTTTAACTTATCCATTTCGACCAAACCTAACCTTGGTCAAAATTGTTTTAACAATGAGAAAACGAGGTTCATGCGCCTCGCTGGTGAATGATTTGACTGTTTCTCGTGTTCATTATGGTGTCAAGGGAGCAGTAGTGACTGGGGTGTTTCTTTGCACGATACACACACAACGTACGATCATCTTACCGTGGGAACTGACCAACGTCCGATCATCTTACCATAAGAACTGACAACGTCCTATCAGCTTACCCTGAGGATGACGATGATGACGATAGCGATGACGGCGAGGACGAGGATGATCCCAGCAAGGACTCCCAGCAGTGGTGTCACCTCCACCGCCAGGGCGTCCTGCGATACTCCTGCAGGGGTGGAGGAGTGGTGAAGTAAGACTCCCTTTCTCAATAAATTTCACTTCCTCTCGCCATTTATCTCTAACTCCACCTCTCTCTCTTCCACTCCTTCTCCCCTCTCCTTCTCTCTCTCTGGCGGGAGAACAGAAGCGTGGGAAGGGCTGGACCCGGTTCGTGACAGGAGAGTTCCGGTAGGTGGGCCTCCGGGTAGAGGGGCCTTAGAGAGGATTCGAACCTAGACCGCCAGGATGCATGTGGGTCTCAGTACCGCCCTACACATTAAACATTATCACTGGCAGAGTGGGTATAGCACAGGGCTGCAAGATGAATTGATGTCGTGGCGGCCTAGGTTCGAATCCTTAACGGATCTTTAATTACATTATATATAAATATATATATATATATATATATATATATATATATATATATATATATATATATATATATATATATATATATATTATATTTCATTCCCTCTCTCAATGTTACACTCCCCCATCCTCCAGCCCTCTCACCCTACCTGCACCTCCCTGCACCCACTCACCAGCAGAGCCACTGGTCCCTAGGCGTGTCTCCAGCTGCTTCACCGGCAGCTTGTGTGTGAGGGCCACCAGCCTGGAGATGCCGCTGCGGCCCTTGGCGTTCCCGGCGTACACGATCAGCTGGAACTGCGACTCGTTGTCCAGACCCGTCACCACAAACCTGTCGACCACACCACCGTCCTCGTTAGCTCGATGCAGGAACTCGTTATTATAGAGGGGGGGAGGGGTTGAGAAATGTGAGAGATACGAGGTTTTGTGTCTTGGAAACGAGTCTCTTGTTGAGAGTTATATGGGTGATGGACATAGATGTTTGGGACAAGGTTTTGTATTTTGGAAATGCTGTTTTATAAAAGCTGTTACTTCCATTCTCATTGTGATGTTCTCATGCACAAATTTCGGTTGAATAATTTGGCTATTGTCGTTGTCTATCGATCATTTCGATGATTATATTTCCTAAAAAATAATGAAGGCATGAAGCACTGTGATCATGACTCATTGATCTTGGTTGTCATTAGAGCTGTACTGTTGATTCGTTGATGCATCAGTTGCATCATGTTTGAAGTGCTGTGGATTTTGTAGACTGTACACATTGGTCCGTACAGCAAGCCAGGATTGGGAGCCAGTAGTCTCGACTCTGTGATAGTGTCACCAGGCAGTGACCCTCCCTACCTTAATCAAAATGACCAACTTATTATGTATTGTTTACTGCATCCAGTGGATGAGTTTTACAAGCAAGAAAGAAGGGTCATCAAAAGTGAAAAGTGAGAAAAGACGAGAAAATGGTGAGGAGAAGCGAGACAACGAAGGAAAAGATATGGACCAAAGGACATGAGAAGACTATAGTAGGGATGAGAAGAAAACAAATGAGACAAAAGAAGAGAAGAGATTACACTCGAAATAGAATAGAGAAAAATATAAGGACCTATAGGTCTGTAATATATTAACTGGCTGTATGCATTTCAGCTCTCTAAGTATGTCAATGATTGGAAGGTTCATAAGAAGCCAAGGACCCATCATCCCTCACCTGGGCACCTTGGAGGTAATGTTGGCCTTCAACGAATGCGGGTTGGTGCCGTAAACCTCCATGGCGAAGGTTTGGTTGAGGCCGCCGTCGAAGCCAGGGTCGCAGGTCACAGCCAGGCTGCTGGCAGACACGTTGTACAGCGAGCAGTTGGTAGGAGACTCTGGCTGAGCTGCGGGATCAGAGGTGGGGAACAGCCGTGAATATTATGACGCCAGGGGTAGTGGCAACGACGAATGTTTTGTCGATGGTTTTGTAAGGATTAGGTTTAAGAGAAGAGCTGGGCCAGAATTCGTGAATTATATACACATTCACTCTCGAAAGTTGCACATCTTTTAACAATCATGACTTTATTTACATTTAGTAAACGGTTTATGGACTTCGAGCCATCACAATACAAGGTTATTTATTGTTTTAAAAATCGTCGTAGCGCTTCGGAGCTCAAACTCTTCAATAAGTGTAAACGAAGCCGCCATGATTGTTAAAAGATGTACAGGCTTCATAAATGGATGCATAAATGCTTGGAAATCCTGACCCAGGGTGGGAAGGAGTGTACATGCTTACCAAACGGTATTAACATAATATTAATTACCTAGCAGAACTTTCAGGGTTGAGTTGGTCTCATCTCTATACTTTAATAAATTCACACACTGAAGAAGTGCTTCCTCACAACCCGCGCGGCCCATCTGCATACCAAAAGTTCACAAAGGCCGTTTCGTTATGTTTTAGTCGGTCTAAATTATGTAAACTTAATGTTCCCTTTAAAATATCTTGCTCTTCTGTATCATTTCCTATTACACTCTTCTTTCTTCAAGCTATGTTAAGTTCAGCTTTCAGTTACAATTTTACTGTTGAGCATTTAACGTACCAGCACTATAAACTGTTGGATTAGATGGTACACAGCGTTCTGATAGCATTAGTCTAGAGGGCTATTCTGATTTTCATTGACATAGATGACGTGATTCTATTTGTGTGTACCTCTTGTGTCAGGGTCAGGAATATGTCCACTTACAGGTTCACTTTTTTCCATTAACACCGGGAAGGGAAAGGAATTCATGAAAACAAAAAACCTTTAGCCAATATGACTATATAACATGTGGAAGAAATATGAGGACAAGGAGCTCGGATATAAGGATGGTGATGGAACGGTTTCCAAACACTTGAATCATCGGATACCGAACCCTGCAAGAGCCAGATTCGAAGATTGTGCCGACCAGTCCAAGTAGATGAACACTGAAAGGTTTCTCCCATTTACTCTGTCCCCCCTTATAAAGATCACAGGCTATGCATGTCTATTTATTAAGGTCGAGGTCAAGAAAAGACTTGACCCGCCTGACAGAAACGTGAACCTGGAATATCTTCCAATCATTTAAATTGAATGTCAGAGACGGCTGAGTGGATTATCTTGCAGTCAAATGATTCGACTGACAGGAGGATGTGCCTGGATTATCTTCAAGTCACTGCTCCGCCTGGTGATTCTCATCAGCTTGGCGTCATCTGTTAAGTGACACAAAGGAGTGTGGATCGTCAGCAATGGTATTTACACATAAGGAAAACACTCTGGGACCAAAAGACCTAACCCCCGGTTCTCTTAGTCTGATTTCTTTCCTCTTTACATTCTATGCATAAGGACGTCTTCCATCTATCTAAATATTCTTTAAAAAGTTTTCCTGTTAGTTTCTTAACCTTGTGTATAAAGATTGCTTTCTTGCAATCTAAGAATAGTAGTAAACTTTCGCAAACACGGTTTGCGAGACATTCTAATATGAAGTCTTATCAACCCACCAAAAAGCTCTGCCAAACAATTTAAGAATATAGAGTCTAATAAACTTTCACTAAATTGTGTGTCAAGCAGAACTATCGTTCTCTGAACCTCCGTTGGTACGTCATTACGAAGCTTATCTTCTCTGCAACTTTGCATCGAAAGCCTGTTAGGGAGCTGATCTGCAGTTGACTGCATATTATGACGATATTCTCGTAGATTGATACGGTACTTGTCGCTTTCGTTCCGCCCGTTCTCGTGATTTATCAACGTAAAGTTTGAAGCGGGTTTCCATAACGAGAAAACGTTCGAACGAAGGCAACCCTCCTAACCTATCGAGGTGGGCGTTCATTGGTCCCAGCGTCAATACCTAGATGCTTTCAATTTCGAAAAAAGGCGGGAATTTTGACGCTGTGGTCGAAAACGTCAGAATTGCAGAGCTTTAAGTGTGAGAACAGGTTGCATCTTAAGTGATCTTCAGAGGCTCTTAATGGTTTTTTGGGACCCAGAGGATGAGATCGTGTCCGAAGTCAGAGGTCTTATGTAAGTTGAAATTCTCGGAATGATCATTTACACGCGTTGTCACCAAATGTCACATGATGCCTGCAGACACTGTCAGATGAATCCCAGCAATAACACTCAGGTGAAGCCTACAGCAACAGTCAGGTGAAGCTTGCAACAACAGTCGAGTGAAGCCAGTAAGCTGGCGTCTGTGAGAGAAGGCCAGTCAGGCGGGACCTGAATACTCGCACTAATATCTCCTTCACCATTATAAATGTTACGTCCTAGCCTAGTTGGGCTGAAGGGTAAACGCTGTGGTTAAGAGTCAACAAATTGTTTAATAACATGTAGTTAATTTAACGCGCTGGTAATTATTTGAGGCAGGTATAATCTACACAATGAACCGGCAGAAAATATTCCTAATCTGAGGACATAATTATACTGACAAATTATTTTCTATTCCTGAAAGTTTATGATACAACATTAATAATAATATACGCTAAATTTATTTACCTAAATAACATAGTTAATTTTTTATAGTGCAAGTATATGTGTGTGTGTGTACTCATCTATTTGTACTCACCTATTTGTGCTTGCGGGGGTTGAGCTCTGGCTCTTTGATCCAGCCTCTCAACCGTCAATTAACAGGTGTGCAGGTGCCTGAGCCTACTGAGCTCTATCATATATGTACTTGAAACTGTGTATGGAGTTAGCCTACACCACATCACTTGTGTGTGTGTGTGGGTGTGTGTGTGTGTGTGTGTGTGTGTGTGTGTGTGTGTGTGTGTGTGTGTGTGTGTGTGTGTGTGTGTGTGTACTCACCTATTTGTGCTTGCAGGATCGAGCATTGACTCTTGGATCCCGCCTTTCCAGCTATCGGTTGTTTACAGCAATGACTCCTGTCCCATTTCCTTATCATACCTAGTTTTAAAAGTATGGATAGTATTTGCTTCCACAGCCTGTTCCCCAAGTGCATTCCATTTTTCCACTACTCTCACGCTAAATGTGTGTGTGTGTGTGTGTGTGTGTGTGTGTGTGTGTGTGTGTCTCCCGTCTTCCCAGTACTCTTTGTCAGTCGTACATCGCTTTGAAACTACTGACGGGTTTGGCCTCCACCACCTTCTCACTTAGTTCTTTCCAACCGTCTACCACACTGTTTGCGAAATAAAATTGTATAATATTTTTTCGGCACCTCTGTTTTCTTCGTTTGAATCTGTGTCCTTTTGTTCGTGAAGTTTCTGGTTTCAGGAATTCCTCTATGTCAATTTGGTGTATTCCTCGATGTATTTTGTAAGTGGTGATCATATCACCTCTCTTCTATCTTCTAGGTTTGGCATGTTTAACGCCTCTAGTCTCACCTCATAACTTTTGGTTTTCGGTTCCGGAAGCCGTTTTGTAGCATGCCGTTGTACCTTCTTCAGTTTTATTTATGTGCTGCTTGAGATTTGGGCACCATGCAACTGCTGCATATTCCAATTTTGGTCTCACAAAAGTCATGAACAGTTTCTTTAGTATTTCACAGTCCATATAATTAAAAGCATGTCTGAAGTTGGAAAGTGACACAAACGCTCCTCTCACAATTTTCTTTATATGTTCCTCTGACGACAGCTTGGTATTCAAAACCACCCCCTAAGTCTCGTTCTTTATTTGAGTTCTGTAATGCCTTTCTACATAATTTGTACGTTGTGTGTAGTGTATTTTCTCTGACTCCACATTCCATAACATGGCATTTATTCACATTGAATTACATTTGCCACTTGACGCTCCCAGCACCTATGTTACCTAGATCAATTTGAAAGGTTTACAGTCGTCTGCGTCTCCTATCTTCCCATCTTATATGGGAAGATACGAGATTCATGATAGGTATTCATTTAACACCTTATTAATATCCCCCATGTAATGCCATTCATCCATATGTTACCTAACCACCTCACTATAAGAGGATATAACATGGTGCTAACACAGTAGAATATATATATATATATATATATATATATATATATATATATATATATATATATATATATATATATGTCGTACCTAGTAGCCAGAACTCACTTTTCAGCCTACTATGCAAGGCCCGATTTGCCTATTAAGCCAAGTTTTCATGAATTAATGTTTTTTCGACTACCTAACCTACCTAACCTAACCTAACCTAACTTTTTCGGCTACCTAACCTAACCTCACCTATAAAGATAGGTTAGGTTAGGTTAGGTAGGGTTGGTTAGGTTCGGTCATATATCTACGTTAATTTTAACTCCAGTAAAACAAAATTGACCTCATACATAATGAAATGGGTAGCTTTATCATTTCATAAGAGAAAAATTAGAGAAAATATATTAATTCAGTAAAACTTGGCTTATTAGGCAAATCGGGCATTGCATAGTAGGCTGAAAAGTGCGTTCTGGCTACTAGGTACGACATATATATATATATATATATATATATATATATATATATATATATATATATATATATATATAACTGAAAACTCACACCCCAGAAGTGACTCGAACCCATACTCCCAGAAGCAACGCAACTGGTATGTACAAGACGCCTTAATCCACTTGACCATCACGACCGGACAAAATGAGGTGATAGCCGAGGCTATATGAACCACCCCACCGCCGGCACTCGGATAGTTATCTTGGGCATAGCATTTTACCAAAACACCTCATTCTTTGGGGCACACGTGAGGAACACAAATGCGAACAAGCCTGAATGGTCCCCAGGACATATGCAACTGAAAACTCACACCCCAGAAGTGACTCGAACCCATACTCCCAGAAGCAACGCAACTGGTATGTACAAGACGCCTTAATCCACTTGACCATCACGACCGGACAAAATGAGGTGATAGCCGAGGCTATATGAACCACCCCACCGCCGGCACTCGGATAGTTATCTTGGGCATAGCATTTTACCAAATCACCTCATTCTTTGGGGCACACGTGAGGAACACAAATGCGAACAAGCCTGAATGGTCCCCAGGACATATGCAACTGAAAACTCACACCCCAGAAGTGACTCGAACCCATACTCCCAGAAGCAACGCAACTGGTATGTACAAGACGCCTTAATCCACTTGACCATCACGACCGGACAAAATGAGGTGATAGCCGAGGCTATATGAACCACCCCACCGCCGGCACTCGGATAGTTATCTTGGGCATAGCATTTTACCAAATCACCTCATTCTTTGGGGCACACGTGAGGAACACAAATGCGAACAAGCCTGAATGGTCCCCAGGACATATGCAACTGAAAACTCACACCCCAGAAGTGACTCGAACCCATACTCCCAGAAGCAACGCAACTGGTATGTACAAGACGCCTTAATCCACTTGACCATCACGACCGGACAAAATGAGGTGATAGCCGAGGCTATATGAACCACCCCACCGCCGGCACTCGGATAGTTATCTTGGGCATAGCATTTTACCAAATCACCGCATTCTTTGGGGCACACGTGAGGAACACAAATGCGAACAAGCCTGAATGGTCCCCAGGACATATGCAAGTGCCGGCGGTGGGGTGGTTCATATAGCCTCGGCTATCACCTCATTTTGTCCGGTCGTGATGGTCAAGTGGATTAAGGCGTCTTGTACATACCAGTTGCGTTGCTTCTGGGAGTATGGGTTCGAGTCACTTCTGGGGTGTGAGTTTTCAGTTGCATATGTCCTGGGGACCATTCAGGCTTGTTCGCATTTGTGTTCCTCACGTGTGCCCCAAAGAATGAGGTGATTTGGTAAAATGCTATGCCCAAGATAACTATCCGAGTGCCGGCGGTGGGGTGGTTCATATAGCCTCGGCTATCACCTCATTTTGTCCGGTCGTGATGGTCAAGTGGATTAAGGCGTCTTGTACATACCAGTTGCGTTGCTTCTGGGAGTATGGGTTCGAGTCACTTCTGGGGTGTGAGTTTTCAGTTGCATATGTCCTGGGGACCATTCAGGCTTGTTCGCATTTGTGTTCCTCACGTGTGCCCCAAAGAATGAGGTGATTTGGTAAAATGCTATGCCCAAGATAACTATCCGAGTGCCGGCGGTGGGGTGGTTCATATAGCCTCGGCTATCACCTCATTTTGTCCGGTCGTGATGGTCAAGTGGATTAAGGCGTCTTGTACATACCAGTTGCGTTGCTTCTGGGAGTATGGGTTCGAGTCACTTCTGGGGTGTGAGTTTTCAGTTGCATATGTCCTGGGGACCATTCAGGCTTGTTCGCATATATATATATATATATATATATATATATATATATATATATATATATATATATATATATATATATATATATATATATATATATATTATTTTTAATGCTGCACACTGAGCACATACAAACTGAGGTATGCAACATTGGCACATAGTATTCCGTTTACGTTTGTCTGGGATAATATTTCAACTAGTATGCACATAAACCAATCAGTAGGTACGTAAACACATCAGTAGGGACGTGAACACATCATTAGGTACGCGAACAGATCAGTAGATACGTGAACCTTACTAATTACTACGCAATCTACGTACCGTTTCAGAGGTTAAGTCAGATATCCAAAGCAAAATAAATCTGTGTATTTCGGCTCACCAAACCTGGTCTCCCTGTGTTAAGGTCTAATGTTACGCTGACGAAAACTGAAGCAAGATTTCCTGAACGTCAAGATAAAAATTTCGCCCTGTGGAGTAATATGGTTATGATGGTTCATTAACTTTCTATAAAAAAGTTAACGGGAGCAATCTTCTTCGTAGGTGTTGCAGGGCACGCGTGGAGGTGTGCTGGGGTGTTGGTAGTGTGCTGGGGTGTTGGTGGTGTGCTGGGGTGTTTAATGTGCTCGTGAGAGCTTGTATTAGAGGACAGTCTTTGAGCTGGGATCGAGGACAGACTATGAGCTGGGATACAAAGACAGACTATGAGCTTTGATAAGAGGACGGACTGTGAAGTGGGATTCGAGGACAGGCTGTGATTTGGGATACAAGGACAGACTGTGAGCTGGGATATGAAGACAGACTGTAGGGATAAAATAGGATGGGGATAGTGTAGGTTAGTTTAGATTGGGTTCTCCTGGTTAGGATAGATGGTATGTAGTGGTATTTATTATTTTTGTCCATATTTTAGATTTTGATCATTTCATTTTGATGAAATTGAGAACAAGAAAAAAAAGAGATTTGAATATGTTACTTAGAGTGGAGGGGTGTTTCTCCACCCCACTGACGGCGTATTCACGTATAATAATGAATAACTACTAGCAGAATTCTGTGGACATGAGTATATGGGGAAGATAGACTATATTATGATCCCATCTACCAAACATCTACCTTGTTAATGATGCACAGTGTCCTTGTGTATTTATTTTTAAGACTATACCTCTGTATCCGTGTGTTTCTTTATCTCACCCTACATCCCCCTCTTTCTCCCTTCTCTTTCACACCCTCTCTTCCCCATGATCTCTATTCCTCCTCTTCCTGTGTCCGTTTGATCATATTTCTGTACCATTATGCTTGGGGTTGTCTGTCCGCCTGTCTGTGTGTCTAAGGGACGAGCCTGGAAGGGCTACCGAGCATATTAAGAAACAGATAACAGGGGACCATAAGCATACTTAGAAATAATTTTAAACTCATAAATGTCTAAGGCGAACTAGGTAACAAATTATACCAATAAAGAATACGTGTGTTAGACAGACATAGTCAGCCTTAGGCATTTACTGTGACAGTCTGCACCTTGGCTCCAAGTATGCTTATGGTATCCGTCCACCTGTCCCTCAATATACCTGGCTGTCCGCCCAGGCTCGTCTCTTAGACAGACAGACAACTCCCCACCCCTAAGTATAACGAACGCAATTAGTGAGGGTTTGCGGTCTGTTGAGAAAGGAAAGGCTTGTTTTTTAGAATTGGTGAGAGTTTTTGAGTATGTTTGTGTCCGTGTGTGCGTGTGAGTATCTATGTGTGCATGCGCGTACGTGATTGTGTGTGCGTACGTGCACGGGAGTTGTGTCTGTGCTTGTACATCTGTTCCTGGACCTGTCGAGGCTGGAGGGAACCCGAGCAAGGGACAGCCACTTGTGACACGCACCAATTCCTGCCACCTCCCCACCCGGTGCAGGCAGTTTAACGGAATCGGTTTTCCTTTCACACATTTAATGCCCTACAACTTATTTTACTAGCCTTAGTGATAGCTCTGGTAACAATTAACGGATCCAATAATAGGGAACGTTTGACAATCCACTGGCCTCGTGCCCCCGTCGAGCATAGTAGGGAGATAGTGGCCCTTAGGTAAATTCTGGTAAATATTCTGCAACCCAGGCGTGCATCTTTCAAGGTCAGGTCTCATAAGAAGGAAACCCTTTGATATATACGATTTCCTTTACTCTCCCTCTTGCGTTATCCCCTACGTTCCCCAACCCTTCCCCTCCTCCACCCCAAAAATTCTGTCTCTTCCTAAGATCAGCCACCCTTGATAGCAACTTAGTATACGCATTAGATGCGCATTAAATATTCAGAAACATTATTAATGCAAATATTTCAACCTGCAGTATATGTCAAATAATTTGTGTATTATGAAAATGAACAATAACAAAATTTCCCATTTTTTTTTTTACATATTTCCAACCCACAGACTTGTGTCATGGTACAACTCGACGTCATAAATAAGTTCTATAAAAATACGTACATATCTCTTTAATAACAGTGTTTTACCACATCATAACATAGGCACCAGTACAAGCCTATCGTGACTGCTGCTGCAGTGTTCTCTTGATTTCAATGTCAAAATCCTTCTAACTTAACCAGAAACGAACAAACCCAAGCAACCCCCCGAACCTATCGAACGGATGCATGAAATGCGTGTATATTGTGAACCGCTACTTTCATAGTAGTTTGTATTTGCTACGTTGGTTACCGTAACATACAAAACGCGACCTATTAGTTGAGAGGACGGGTTGACAATGGACGAGTTCACTGCGTTGTCTTTGCTGTTTATAAAGTAATTATTTCAACGGCGTTCATGGTCAGCACAAACATGCATATCATATAACTCTGTAGAATATATGATATTAGTTTGCTAGTATCACGAGCTTTTTATCTCACACAGCAGTTAAGACTCATAATAAATAAAGGAGGGTCTCAAATTACCACTGCCAGGAAGGCAATAGGTGTTTTGGGAATATTAATGACTTTCGCTGGTACACGCACCTTGCTTGTAAGCATGATATATAAAGTTATTGGTGGCTAAGAAATATGCTCGTTGCAAGGAACAAATACACTCATTTACAGTATGAGACTGCTTGGAATACATATTGAGTATACGAGATATTCATTGCAACGAACAAATACAAACATTCATTAGCTATACTCACTGGCAGGTATAATATGGAAGACACAAGGCACGGTCTGGCGGCCGACAATGTTCTCTGCCGTACACAAGAGGCTCCCGTAGTCAAGGTCTGACATGGGCGTGTATTTGACGACGCTCCGGCTGCCAAGTCCAATTGAAAACCTCTCCTGGGGCACGTCTACGCTCTCGGCTGTGTTGTTGAACGTCCAATAGAACCGAGACACCTGCAACACCCAGATATGGAGCCTTTAGAGCTGTTTTTTGAAGCTAGGCTTATAAAGGCCTATCAGACATAGCAATTAAGGACACTGCAATACTGTAGATTTGTGATGATCATGCACTCCTTGCACAGGAATACGCCTGTTTATATTCCTCGACTCATTTTTATGTGGTTCATCCGTGAAATTTACAATAATATTTGCGACAACCCATACAATTAAACCCATGCTTCATAGCATTGTACATCATTAGCGTCCTATGGTATTCTACTGACAACATAATACCTAAATTGCACCTATAGAAAGATAAGCTTTATTAGCACTGTTCTGGCACCAACTGCGTGTAAAACTGGATTTATGTCCAAATTCTTTATTCCAACTGTATGTTGGAATAAGCTCAAGACGTTTATATCACTGGAGTAGAAGTTTAATGCAATATTGAAAGAAAACAAATATATATTATCAAACGAACTGTTAGTGCATGCTAAGACGTACCTGAGGGACAGCGTCCACCTGGCAGGTCACCTGAGCTTCTTCTAATTTGGAGACACCATAGGTCTTCACCTGTCCAGGACGACACAAGGGCGAGTCTGTATGGGGCGACACAATTATTGTCACACACGAGACTCGCGTGTTGGGAGTGAGGGCCAGCAGCGGTAGCTTAGGAGCAGATTATCGGGAAAATGCGTTAAATTCCTATGTAGCTCTCACGTGGGCTATGAGGAGAGATCATGAGCTGGGATATGAGGACGGATCATGAGCTGGGATATGAGGACGGACCATGAGCTAGGACATGAGGACGGACCATGAGCTGGGATATGAGGACGGACCATGAACTGGGATATGAGGACGGACCATGAACTGGGATATGAGGACGGACCATGAACTGGGATATGAGGACGGACCATGAGCTAGGACATGAGGACGGACCATGAGCTGGGATATGAGGACGGACCATGAACTGGGATATGAGGACGGACCATGAACTGGGATATGAAGACGGACCATGAACTGGGATATGAGGACGGACAATGAGCTGGGATATGAGGACGGACCATGAGCTGGGATATGAGGACGGACAATGAGCTGGGATATGAGGACGGACCATGGGCTGGGGTTAAAAGACAAACCAGGAACTGGGATATGTGACCATATTAAGAGTTAGAATGTAAGGATAAAAACTAAGAGCTGAAATATGGATACTAAGTGGTAGGATATGTGGATAGAATAAGAGCCACTATATGAAAATAGGCCATGAACTGGGATATTAAGGCACACCAAGAACTGGGTAAGGATAGACTTAAGAGCTGGAATATGAGCACGAAGTGAAGGAACGATGCTATCAGCTTGAACCATCAGGCAGTCTCTGTACCGACTAGTCCTAGTGGATGGAAAACAGCACAGGTGATTTTTCTATTTTTACTTTATATTTGGCTAGTTGGAAACAGTGAGGGGGAAGGTAGTGGGCAATGGGGCGAAAGGTATGACGCAAAGCTTGCAACCGGAGCAGAAAATCATAAATACTTGAAAAATGTTTTATTGCAAAAGATAATTTCACGTATTTCCAGTATCCAATTGAAAAGAGGTATTGCATTGGGTTTAGAACAGCGGATGATAGAATGGAACACACTTACACTGTACAGCCAGAGTGACAGGTGTGGAGGTAGAGTCCCCTTCTACGTTACTGGCCTGACAGGTGTAGCGTCCAGCGTGACCTCGGGTCACCTGCTGCACCACCAGGCTCATGTTGTTGAGCAGCACACCGCCCTCCTTCTCCTGCCGCAACACCACACCCTGAACAAGCAAGTAGAGCATCGTCAGGATAGCCACGGCCTCATACCCGCGTCTGTACTGTCATCAACACGTTCCTCATCACTCCTTAATTGGCTTTATTGGGATAGCTGATAATTTCACCAGTTTGTTCAACTTATCGGTAAATATTATCAATGTTTTCAGCGACTGAGAGTTTGAACAACTAACACTATTATCCGAAAATTCCACTCCGTTCTCAGGGTTTAGTCATCCAAGCGGCGACGGACATCATTTGGTCATTTCTTTTAAAAAGCAATTTTCAAAAGACGGCTGCAAGCCGGGAAGCCAATGTAGCATTAAACAGTTTTACTGTAATTCGAAATCGATATTTCCTCATATAAATTAATATTGTTATATAATAGAATTTTGTATAATGCTTTGCCTACTTAGGCAGCCTTGATTTGTCGTAACATACAAAACACTATCATAACCTAATTAAAAACGGACAAACCCAAGCACCACACCTAACCTAACCTGATGCAAAGAAAACGTCGATATTTGTCAGCAGCTACTAGTCATAGTACTTTGTAATGTGTAACTTCAGGACCATAATGTACAAAGTGAGACTTATTAGTTGAGAAGACGGGTTGATTTAAGTTAGGTGTTTAGGTTCGGTTGGCAATTTTTTGTAATTTACTGAACGTGGGTGAAGCATTTAGAAAGGTGCGAATCGAATATAGGAAGAGGGCGAATCACTTTTCAAACAAAGTTCGAACATCAGTTGTGAGTTGTTTGAAAAGTCTTTCATTCGTAAACAGGAAGTTTTGTCGCTGGATTAACGAGCACTTGGTCATTGTTTATGAGGAGGGGCTGCAAGACACGAAAATTAGATATATGTGTGACAATGTTTGTGTTTTGAGTGTTCTGAGCTCAAGGTAAGTATAATCATGTATAATTGTGAGCTCGGCGCTAAGTACTCCAGCTTGTATTTTTTTACAATAACAAAGGAGGCAAGGGAGCTATACAGTTCAGGTATGTATAAGCAAATAATAACTCAAAACCAGCACGTGTATCGAGATGGCGTTTAATGACTTGCATTTGATTCTTGCATGCTTTGAGCAGTTGCTTCTTCACCCAAGCACTGCAAATACAGAAGCTCGTTCTCACAAAAACTGGCCAAATGCTTGCTAATTCAGCCGCCAACCGCACCTCGTGTTTATGCCGCCCGTCCTCCTAAGGTTTCCCCAACGTCAAGAAACTGTCGTAATAAAGTGCCCTCTCCTAACCTATCAGAAGGCCCAAATCAGAAAACGAGACAGTATGTCAATTTCGCGATCTGCTATACAATTTTCTAGTACGACAGTTTTTGTCCTTAGGTAGAGTGTGTGTCAAAATGTGACGCTGTATTAGGAGGACAGGTTAGTTTATGACTGAAACCCCCCCATGCAACTCACAGCTCATGACCTTTCAATGTTTGTATGTCAGTGTTTAGCTCATGCCCTCTCTTCGAATTGCACCTAACAATATACCTATGTTGTTGTTGTTGTTGTTGAGTTAGGGGCGACGACGATCGGGGGATCGGATGCGCCCCGGCGTACCCGTGAAAGGTGAATCGCGAAGCCAGGAAAGGCGAAAAGCCAAGCCAAAGCGCGAAACGAGAGACGCCAAGCACTAGAAACTAATACGCCACACGGCAAAGCAACGCACAAAGGGAGAGGCAGAAGCACAGAATAGAACAAACTATATACCTAGCCCGTCGTCATAATTAAAGCCCCCCCCCCCCGTTCATGAATGAAAAATGGTTTATATACGATTTACAACTGATGACGTTCGAACGTTTCTCGAACAGTGCTTCGCTGACGACCTCTGCTGGAATCGCAACACTATAAATGCTTCACCCGCCTATTTCAAATACAAATAATTTATTTGTATTTGAAATATGTATTTCATTTTTCATATATACGTGAAATACGTATTTGAAATGTTTTATTAGGTTAAAAGTTAGGTCTAAGTGTTTATCACATTCTATTGTGTAATAATTATTTATTGAGTAGTACAATTTTGAATATGCAGTACATTAAAATTGATGAATGTGTATTTATGGTTGACGGTCGTTTGGACGAGCCTAGCCTGAGGGCAGGTAGCAAGAGAGAGAGAGAGTGAGAGCTCTATGCCTGTATGACAAGTCCGTCTTGAAGTGATACTCGGATAGATAAAAAGATGGGATAGAAAAACTGAGTGGAAGAACGGTTCCCAACTACTAGTATTATCATTAGTCGAACGCCGATCCTGCAAGCTCCTGCAAGAAGCGAGTCCGTCGCCATACCCACCAAAAAGTTTAAATTTAGGAATGTGAAAGAAAACCCCCAAGCTGTGGAATTATAACACTTACATTATGTTTCCAGACGACCTTGTAGGCTCGCGGGTTGGCATCCACATGACAATCGAAGTAGACGTCGTCCCCTTCCCTGATGTTTGTTGGGTTGAGCGACGCCCCCAGCACCGCCTTCGCCGTTGGTGCGTCTGCAGGAGGATGACGAACACGTGGAGTGGTTATGGTGGTAATAACAGGTCACGCGAGTCTAGTTGTTGTAATAATTGTCCTTTCATTGCAGAACTTTCCTGCACCCAACAATTAGGAATTAAGCAACCTGAGATCCTGAGAAAATCTCTGGTCCAATGTTATACCTGAAAATTGGTAGCGTATTAACAGTGGGATTATGCTACAGGGCTGACACAGCAACAGCAAAGGAAGCTACAAACTTCCGTAATGTGATACATGCAGTAGATAAAGCCCAAGGTCAGCTAATGGGATTTTGACAACGCAACGATAGATTGCATGAATCTAACATCGCTTATATAAGGAGAGCAATTTATTAACCTAATACATGACACATTAAATGTCGTCCACAAGCAAGATTAACATAACAGCTGGAGCTTTTTAGCTCATATGGCTCGTGCATGTAGCTAATTCCTTAATGATCCATTCAAATCCCCCCTTCCCCACTAACTTTTGCTGCATATGGTGTGACGATATATGTGCCGGTTGGCAGATAACTATTGCAGGTGGAGGACGGCGGCAGCGTGACTGTTCCATGGTTTCCTGTTATCTTATTGCTTCTCATAGTCGACTATAGTCATAACTCCACACCTGGGGCCGCGGCCTCAAGTGCCACATGTTTAAGCGGTAGGTTTCTCCTCTAACAATTCGTCACCTACACAAATATGGCTGATTGGGAGACCAGTTTGCTCTCCCTATGCTTTGAGGAGCATCAGCATGAAATTATAACTTTTTTATTCGTAGGTCAGTGTCCTGTTCAACCCACCCTCAGTTTCCATATTCTAAAGCCAATGGCAACTCGCCCTCTTCCCTAGGACAAATCTGATTGGGCTCGGAACATGATACAAACTATCTTCTCACACCACGTGAGAGGTGCTTATTCTTTGGGTCAAGGTTAGATATCCCCGTCCCTCTCTAAACTACACCATTTGTAACAGCTCCGTGACTGCCAGTCCTTTCTCAAGTGATTAATATCGCAAATTAATCACTGTCAAATGCTACGTCTTTCTCCGTGACGCAATTGAACTCGTGAAAAACTGGGCTCTTTTTGAATACTATATACATATCAAAGGTTACATCTAAAAATGGTATTTTATTATCTACATTCCAGTGAAAGAACCCAGTTTTAGAAAACCCAGTGGTGTTGATAACAAGTCACGTGACTCTGGCTGTAGTGGCGATGGTTAAATTAATGAAAGAGATGAAAGAAACGTTGACGGCACTCGTAGTGCCGATGACGAAAATGATCACCAACACCGTTGGTGATGCGTTTTCAGGAGGAGAAGGAAGGGCTTAAGTGAGGTTTATACCCTGTGTTATGGTGATAGTTATCATAAAATATTTTAGTAAATCTACCTTTACAGCAAATCAAACGGTCTCAACGAAAATATGATGGTAAGTGTTAAAATTTGAAACACTGTTGTCCAGAGGTGCCTTTCCTTAAATGTCATGTGAAGGTGAATGTCTTCATTAAAAATATTGGAGGAAATGTATTTTTCGATTTGTCAGGAAATAATGTATTATCTGTCATCTGACCTGTAGTAAATATTAGACAATGGGTATCTTATAAGTCTCCAGATCAGAACTGTATGGAGTCATCCTTCATGCAGCGCAATATCTTTGTGTATAAAATAGTCCTGGAGAGTATTCTGGACTAAAGTATACTTACTGGCAGGCCAGTAAGCTCTTCTGTTGGCTTCAATATCCTTGCAGGGGCTGACAGCCCTTAAACCAAACCACCAAACTGATATTGTTTCCTACGTCTTCTCTTGCACCAAATGTAAGTCGACAGAGTAATATCATGCATACCAAACACATAAGTCAGAACTAGCGGTCGGCAAACAGTGTGGCCGTAACCCTGGGCGTGTGTGTGTGTAAATGTGAACCCCCCATTATAATGGGAGTATCGACACTGGGCACCAGATTATAAGCAAAGGATGACTTCATTAATATTTCCTGCTGGAAGCTGTACCTATTCTGCCTCTGTGTGAGCAAGGAGGCTAACTGCTCACTATATCACCTTTATTGCGTATGCAACCTTACCATTGCTGTGGAACGCTAAACCGCCTTGCAAATAACGTAATGTATAGCATCAATATACCAGACTGTTATTAAGCTATCGAAAGTGTCCAAACTCCGACACACCAGATACGAAACACTTCTTACCTGACATTCCAGAGCCATAGCAATGATGTTTATGTGTCTGTACTTGTCTTTTATATAACGATCTTATAAATCAACTCGGATATGTTTTTGTGCTTGCATAACGATAACATCCACATAATATCATTTATGGTCTAACTTGCCAAAGTCAACTATTTTATTTATGAACATGGCTGCAGGGATGTTTGCATTATAGTTTTTGTTGTCGATGTTGCTCTTGTCGACGTTGCTCTTGTCGACATTGCTCTTGTTGTCGACGTTGCTCTTGTCGACGTTGCTCTTGTTGTCGACGTTGTTCTTGTCGACGTTGCTCTTGTTGTCGACGTTGCTCTTGTCGACGTTGCTCTTGTTGTCGACGTTGTTCTTGTCGACGTTGCTCTTGTTGTCGACGTTGCTCTTGTTGCCGACATTGCTCTTGTCGACGTTGCTCTTGTTGTCGACGTTGCTCTTGTTGTCGACGTTGCTCTTGTCGACGTTGTTCTTGGTATGAAGACATTGTATGACATTGTTCTTGCTATCGATGTTGCTGCTGATGATGCTTTTGTCGGTGCTGCTGTTGCAAAAGACTTGAGGACGAATTGAAAGACAGATGCCCACCATTAGGAACATCGGATATTGAACTCTGACCATGCAAGAAGCGAGGTCACCGGCTCGGTACAGATCAGTGGAGAGTGAATCATCTCAGAAGACAATGCTTATTAATAGGATATTCTCCACATTACTGCATTTCCGGACAAATGAAGAAAGCCAAAAGAATGGTGGAAACATTAAGTTTACACTTCAGAAGATTGAGTCAATTTGGTACGAATTCAATAAGTGCGTTCCACCAACAGGTGAACGAGAGGTTTGTTTCTAAGGGCGTAAACATTCTTAGCAGAGGAAACTCTTCTTCTACTCTTAAGTAAGATTGCAAGAGGTATAATCTCCTCTGTAAATTAAATATTAATAGTGAAAATAATCACCATCTGCTTCATCTTCTACTGCACCATTTACTGCACCTGCTGTTGCACCATCTGCTCCACCTGCTGCTGCACCATCTACTTCAATTGCTGCACCATCTTATGAACGACTTTCCGAGGTTAGAGGCCAGACGTTTGGACTAGCTTCACTCAACTTTCTTATATGAAGCATGTGGTGTATGAGTGTATCATAGACCAATTGGTCTCGACGCCAATGCCACACGTTTAGAAATATCGGTATCTCCAGCCCTCCCCCCCCCCACCCGTGCAATAATCATGAACTCAAGTCCGAAATATTAATTGTTTTGTACGTAGGCGTATTAGCCAGTTTCGGTGATTCATTATAAAATTTGTGTGGGAGAGACGAGTAGGGGTGGGGGGGGGGAGAGGAAGGGAGATGTTTGAAGAGGGGGAGGAGAAAGAGGGAGAATGGTGGAGAGAGGGAGAGTGGAAAAAAATAGGAGAGACATTTGTTTTTTATTTATAATATGCCACATATTATCTGCATTTATATTATAATCAGCTGCATGTATGAGGTAAAGGGAGACCATCAGGAGAAAGCGCTAAACCATTACTACTATATAGCACTTGGAAAGGATATGAGGAAGGGGATTTGGGATAGGACAGGAAAGGAATGATGCCTAACCATTTGGACGGTCGAGTTTTAAATGTCGACCTACATGGAGCGAGATTGTCGTTCTATCAGCCAGCCCAATATGTAGTAATTGTAAGCCTCATCATCCTAATTATGCACTATATTCTTGTCAATACAGTTGGCTACAAAATCGTCCCACCCTTGATATAATATAATTGAAAGTTGGCTTTAGCAGATTTTGTGGACATGTAATATTGTTTCATAATTAATTAAAACCAAAACAACTGTAAGAATATCAGTTCTGGATGAAACAAACATATTTGTCAAAAATAATTAGTATCAAAATAAAATTTTACGATGTAAATACAATTTTTCACAGCTCGGCTATTTGTATTTTATTCGTTCTCCAATAATTTCAATAACATAAAAAAAAGTTTTACGTAACATTTAAGTAGGCTCTTGTACTTCTTAAGAAGGGACGTGTGACGAATCTTCCATGCTGGACTTTTTCAGCTCCTTCAGAACACGTGGCTTGAGCCTCTGAACTGTCTTTAACTAATATTAGAAATGTTCTACTCAACTGAAGTTCAGAGATTGTGATGGCCTCTCAAGAACTTTGATATAATGCATCACTAACCTATTGGCAGTAGATCTTAAGGTGAGCTCGGTTCATTAACCCGCTGGATTTGCCACCAAGCTTCAGTTTCTTTACAGAGGAAACCGAGATTTTTAATATATTATCCTGTTATACTTTGCACCCCACCCGTCATTCAATTCTATCAAGGATACCAGGACCACAAGACGTATACACGTTGCCAGATCAAAACATCTTTCATTCTAAGACAAGGGTGACAGTCTTCTCAACGTAGCATTTTCAACTCTAAAAGTATCGCTATACGGCGTTTTTAAGACCATACAACAAGCTGCACCTGTGCAACAATTGATACGAAGTTTTACGGTCAGATAAAAATATATCGGTCTTTTTGTATATACTCAACATTTTGTATATTTAAGTTAATGCTCTTGCAGAGAAAAATTTAGATTTTTCTATTAAGTATTGAGTTGATGTGTCTCAATGAAGAAAACCACCACAGCCTTGAGTACCAATAGCGAGGTCACTACCTCCCCATCTAATTATTATTATTAGAAAAAAAACATACTTTTCAGCTCAGTATAAATCAGTAAACACACTACTGTACCAGGACACTAGTTCTCTGATTCACCTCCCACGATAACACCTGCAGAT